GTTCTCCACTAACCAGCTAAAAGATGAAACGTGTAGGAGGAACTCAAAAAGAAAGAAACAATTGTTTTCTTTTTGTCTTGAACTAAAAAATAAATAAATTATCCTAATTTTCTATTCCTTTTGCAGTCCTGAACCTCTTAGCATCCTTTGTCACCCTCTCAAATTCCTCTATCACTCAGTTCATGTTAAACTCTTCCACTTTCTCTACCATCTTCAAAGTGCTTCAACTGCAGCTATTACAAAAGAACATAAGAATTAGTTAAGACAACAACTTACAACATTAATAATACAACATTAATAATAGCTATACAGATATATTAAAATCGTTTTATTGAAATAAAATTGCACAAATATATTAAGAATGATGTGATAGAAATCTAGAAAAATTAACTAAGATATTGTATAATAACTCTTGTAATGTAAGATTACATGTCATAAGAATAAAGAACAATTACTTTATAACATCAATAAGAATATCATTGAAATATTAAACTTAAACTTGTTTGACTTAACCTTTATATATTCAACCTTATTTTGTACTCTAAATTCACTTTTTGTAGCATACTATTTTCGTCAAAAAGTGAGGTCAGACAATTCCCATAGTGTTAATGAGGTCAGACAATGGAAATTGAGCTGCTTAGTTTTTCCATTGATGGCTGCATCAGCCACTGCAAAAATTTATACCAATGTTCCACAAGCTCTCACATGAAGCTTAACAAGATGATTGGCCACTGATGTTGGAAACAAACTTTTAAGGGTTTGACAGTTAGAAATTGACACTTGTTGCAAGTCTTGAAGGCTCAGAATTTCATCAGGATTCAGATTCCAGATGTGCTCCAGATTTGGCAACTGATTTAGAATGAGTTTCTTCAAAGGAAGAGAAATCGGTTTCATATCTGCTGCTGCATCATTCACATCAAATATTGCCTTCACAGATTGACAGTTGCTTACCTCAATCTCTTTCAAGTTACATAGAAATGGAAGTAAATAAAAAGGGATGACATTGGAAAAAGATTCACATTCCACCACAGTTAAAGATTCCAAGTTGTTGAAAGAATTGTTTGTTGGGATTGGAGCTACACCAAGCCAAATCTCTTGTAGGTGTGAGTGATAATCAAATTTTAAATGCTCTATATCTCATGCAGACTTTTCCACCTGTATGTCAAACAATAATTGATTTTAATATTCTTATGCAGGACAAAAGTTTCACTTATTTTATGCTTATGCATGTTTAGTATGCCAACGTGTTTTGGATATTATGATAGATAACATATTAAAAATAAAATATATTAAGGTTTTGTTGGAAATAAATTGTAATTCTAAGTCGCATGTTGAGTTAAAGATAGTATAAGTCTGTTATGTAATTTTGACTTAAGTCTCATTTGTTTGTTAAATCTCTCTCAAAAGACCTATGTAACCCACTCAGATTTAAATAAATATAAATTTTAAAGTTAAATTAATTTAGCTTTTGGACTCTAAGTTTAATATAATTAATTCTGTTAATTTTTTTTAATCTAACTGTTAATTAAATTATTAAAATAACTCTGTTTGAGTGTATCATATAACTGAAACTATAACTAATTAATGCTCTTGTAGTATTTAAAATACCACCAAAAAATAATTTAATTACTTTGAATGTAAATAAATAGATGAATCTATGTAGAGTTGAAGCAACACACAAACTTTTAGATTACTAAAACTAAAACTGTGAATAAAATAAGAAGACAAAAGTTATAGAGAATAAAAGTACAATTTAGCGAAGAAAATATAACAATTGAATTTATTAGATGAAGAATTCCTTACCTGTCTTTGAAACAATCTCTGAAATGATGTGTTTAGATCATCATGGAAGAATAAATCTGAATCCTCATATGATGTTTTAATCCCAAAAAACCTTGGGGCTGTTAGGACTCCTTCGGAGAAAGTTTTCATATTGGGGCAATTAATTACATATGCATTTTTCAAACATGAAAACTGCATAGTGGCATTCCCTGATAAGAAGCTTTGTAGTCGAGGTAAGGAATTCAAAGTTAATGTTCTGAGTCTTTCAAATATGATCTCATCACAATCATCTTCATCTTCCTTCATTGCTATTTCTTTTATTGATTCACATCTCCTTACAATTAGGGTCTCAAGTTGGACTAAACTTTTTGCAGTTGAAAGTGTGAATAAATACCCCATTCGAGCACAGTCCATCACATACAACACTTTCAGATTGATGAAAGACATTGCGCCACGCCCTAATTTTTCCAACCAAGGACAACTGATAACCCTTAATGTTTGAAGCTTTTCAGAGAATGACTTTACCCATGGGTGTTCGAATCCTATTGACTCAAGCTCATTTAGTTCAAATAGGGTTAATGCTTTCAATGTCGCAGGAATTCCATCATGAACTTGCAATTTCTCAGAGGAAAATATCTCCTTGATACCAAAGCATCTCTGCACTCGAAAATGTTCTAAATTAGGTACCCTGTGTAGGAAATCAAAAGGCAAAGTACCTTTCTCATTTTTATCTTCCTCAAAGCACAATTGGAGAAGATTTAATTTGCTGAGATAGTGTTGTGGCACATGTGCGTCGCTCATCAACATCATGTTTTTCTCGTTCAGTGTCAATTCCTTAAGTTTGGGAACAACCTACATTCAATTCAAGCCGATTCAAAAGAAAACACACAATGGAAATTTGAAGGAAGAAAGTTGGAAAATATATAATGAAAAAGAGGAATCTACTTAATGTTGTCACCTTTTCAACAATGAACAGAGGTTGTTGTAGGCATTTTATCGGAGCCTCTGTAATTGCTTCTTTGTGACTGTCATGAATTTTTGATGTGAATAGCTTCAACTTGGGACAGTAGGCCACATGCATGATTTCTAATTTGGGACATTCTAGATGGTGTTTTTCAGGATAAAAGCAGCTCAGATTTGTTAGGTTATAGAGAATTAGCAATGACAAAAAAGGGAATTCAAACATCAATACTTCAGTTGTTCTGTTTTCGATTGCATCTTCCTTTCCATCAATTTCTACCAACTTGTCATTCCTTACCAACTTGTCATAATATCCGATGATGATGACAACAAAATGAATTTAAAAGAAAACGTGAGAGTTTATATTATTACCGATTGGATGTTCTTATTCTCATCATCGAAAAAGAGCATGGAGTTGAAAGGGACAGCGGTGCTCGAATGAAGAGAAGCCCAATTTCTTGAGGACAATATGCCTTTGGCGTGAGGATACAGAGAGTCCATTTTAATATGAAGAGTAATAAGTTATCAAGAATGAATAATCTCATATTAGATCTCTTAGACATTTAAACAAACAGTTTATGAGCAAAATTAACATATAATACTCAGAATTAAGACAAAACAAGCCAATACAAATTCAACCTTACATGAATCAGAGAAAAACATCAAAACAGAGATGCGAAACAATGTCAACACAATAATGAATCAAATGAAAACACGACACAAAGGAGAGATACTTAGCTTTTGAATTTCGTGGAAGAATTAGAGCTCTGAATACCACCTGATGAAAGAGGCTCCAAGGAAGAGAACTGAACGCGCGACGCGCAGCGAAATAACGAGGAATTAGAGATCGAGAAAGATTCTACCAAGACCTAAGGGCGATAACCTTCGCACCAACCCTGGGCAAAAATAGAAGAGAGAATTTGAAGGAGAACGAACCGAATCAGAGATAGGACTCACAGAAACCCTAAATAGTAGGAAACCCTAATAAGGAACCTATCGGACTGAAGGAACCCAAGAAAGGGATGAAACTTAAAAGATTACCCGATTAATATCGAATCAAAACGAGATTGAACGGTGGAAAAGAATTTTCAATCGGAGGAAAAGCTTTTAAACAGAGTAAAAGAGGATTTAATCGGTGAAACTTCAAGAAAATGGTGAAAGGATGACGAAACCCTAGAAGGAGATGAAGATAATCGGTGGAAGAGGAATTTTGTTCTTAAATAGGCTGAGGAAGGAAAGAAATATGAAATAAGATAATGAATTTGTGAAGAGAAAGAAAACTTACCGTTGATGGTGAGCTCTCGAGAAGAAAATGAACGTGGCTGATGATGCTGTCTGAATGAAGACGTGGCAAAGGAAGAACGCGTGGCTACAAGGATGGAAGGAAGAAGAAAGAAGTAAGGGTGTGAGATGAGGAAACAAAACCATCTGAGGGTTTCTTCTACTGAGAAAAAGGGAGAAGAAAGGATTTGTGGGTTTTTTTTTATCCGAAATGAAGGAAGAAAGGAAGGGTCAGTGAGTGAGTGAGTGAGGGACTCATTTTGGAGAGTTGTAGTTAGGTTTTTTTTTTCAAAGTTAGAAGAAGATCAGAGCTTTTTCTAAAGTTTTTTTAATTATTAATTAATTAAAAATCTGTATATAATATCTGTATGTAATATGTTTAATACATACGGATTAAAATCCGTATGTAATAATCCGTATATAAAACACAATTTTCTTGTAGTGAACACGCAACAGGGAAACCACAATCTATGGATTGTAAACACAATACTTATCTGCAAAGAATACACCTTAGAGTGCGAATGATTGATCAACCAATGAAAGTACAAATCAATCCTTCAAGAATCCTTCAAATCTGCAAAACTTTCGTTTCTTAATTCTTGGAGAAACAACACACCAACAAAATCTTATCTTGACTCTCTTAAGTCAGATATTAAAGATCAAAAGCTCAAAAGTTATCAATGTAGAGCGTTATGCGTCAATATATAGATTTCCTCATGTCTTACACTTTTTAATCGATTACAAAATTAATGTAATTGGTTAAGCATTTAACAGTGTTGTACCAGAATTACATCAAAACAGATTTAACTGATTACGCAATTAATGTAATCGATTACACACTTATTGTAAGTCAAAACAATTTAAAATATGATAGTTATGATAGTTAAGACTTAACATGAAAACGATTTTCAATGTGTACCAGATTTAACCAATTAAGGAAACTGTGTAATCAATTAAGTATTACACTTAAGCAATTTTGAAAATTTTTTCTTCTGAAAACTCATCACTGCACTCAGAAAACAGGTGTTAGCAAAGGCACGAGTTTTAATCGATTATACATATAATGTAATCGATTAAAACTTGTAACTTGCTACAATTAAGCATTAACGTATATCTGATGAACTTAATTAATTACATAAACACTGTAATCGATTACTTCATACATATATGCTTTGTTCAAGTAGTTTTGACACTTAAAAACATGAATATGAATACTACAGATTTAAACACATGTATAACCACAATAAGTATGCAAACCAAACAATTCAAGCACAAAGAAACATATAAATGCAACTATGATTATTAAAACATTTTAGTTGTTGTGCAAGAAATATATAGAAACATTTAGTTGTTGTCATCATCAAAAACACACAAGGGATTGGGTTTAGCTTTCACATTGCTCCGCCTATCAACAATCTCCCCCTTTTTTGATGATGCACAACCAGAAACTATCTTTCCAGTTATTTCCAGTTTTATTTCCAATTTGTCCCCCTTTGAGCATTAGCAAAAAAGATATGAAACAACAGGAACATAAGTGCATACAGAGATACATCAATATGTATTTTTACAGATCAATTGTAGAAATTTATGCTCCCCCTATCATTATGCAGTAGCTCTTTTCAACCATTTCAAATACAAAACTTAGTTTAGTATGAGAGCTAACAGAAACATTTAACATTATATAGTTCAATGAAAGTATCAGATTATGAATTGTAGAAATTATTTCAAGCATGTAACATATTTATTGAAATGTATAAGAATAAAAGTAATACTTGATGCCAATGAATTTTTGTGTGCATGAAATAATGAGTATTAGAATTCATGAAATCATATAACTTCATAATAAATGTTTCAGAATTGATGATTCAGCAGAAAAGAAAATCAAACCACATTCTTATGTGATAAATGATTTCACTATTTTTGCAATCGATTAATTCTTGTAAAGTATTTGATAATCCATTTAAGACCAATGGTATGTTCATGTAAACTTGTCATGTTCAGTAATAGACCTGTAAATCACAACTTTCTCAACTATGTTGAGTGTTAGTTCAGTGATACAACACAATTGTGAAGCAATAAGAATCATCAAATGAGTATGAGTATGCAATAATGTGCATGACAGTTAAAATAGTAGTTTGCACTCATACAACAGATATATCCAATCAGATTCATTCAAACAATTGATCAAGAACATGATATAATCCAGAATATATCTATTTTATTCATTATACCAAAATAACAAAGTTTAAACATAAATGGCTTTATAGCCAATTTTTACATTCATTTCAAAATAAAATAAACAAAACATCAAAACAAACTCTAAAACATAGACTCTAATTCCTAATCTGAGTCAACTATCTTTATGAAGTCTTCATCTATTTTGTCTTTTTCATTGATAGAGTCATCTTCAAATGTTCCCCCAAAGGCATTGATTTTCAGTATAGTCCAACTTCCTGTGCAAACCAGACAATGATTTTTGTACCAGGGATAACTTGAGATCTTGCTTCTTAAACTCTTCAACCACAAATTTTTCAAATTCAGATTGAGGCTTGAAACAATATTTAGACTTATCAACACCTATAGGCTCAACCTCTTCCACCACAAGTAGATGTTCGTCCTTGAATGACCAACCGTTTTCATCCTTTCTCAGTCCCATATGGTGTAGGACAAGTTTTTCAATCATGTTTTTCTTTGAGCAACCCCAGTTACTTCATTTGTGACATCAACTCCATGATGTCTCAATATCCTGCTAATGAAGACAACGTATGGAAGTTGGTATACCTTCTGCCTAGTGATCTTGGTCATATGATCACTTATCACAGAAATATAGTTTGTGAGAACTTAAGCCCGCAAAGCATGCAATAGAAATACATCTTTAGTGGTGAGTTGTGCATGATTTCCACCTCTAGGTAGCAGAACCCAAGCTATAACAAATGCACAGAGATGCTCATCCCTTTTTAAACCACCAACCCTGAAGAGAGTGAAATATCTTGGTTCTTCAGGAAATCTTAGACAATCTTTGTAAATAGTCATTTTGTTAATACTAGTCATACCCAAATGAGACTGAATCCCTACAGGATGAAACCCTGCAACTGCCTTCCATACTGCTTCATCAATACAAACATCAACACCTTTCACTTGAGAAAGAATACGACTATCTTCAAGCTTTAGATTTGCGTAGAATACCTTCACCAAGTCTGGGTAGTAGTCACCATCCATTTCAATGAAGTTAGCCAGACCTTGATAAATCAGCACTCCTGAAATATAAATCCTTCACTACAGAAGAAGAGAAGACCCAAAAACTTATGTTTGATTACTTCTTTGAATCTCCAGAAGCATACGAAGTCACTTTGCTTTTTCTCATCACTAATCCATCCTGTGGGATTTGCTTGCCTTTTAACTAGTGTTGTCCGTTTACACGGCGAGAAGATGAAGAAGCCATTACAGAATCAGGGTTCACAAAGACACTTGTACACAGATAGGGTTTTATAAATGACCTTATTGATTAAATTTAGTGAAGGCCATTTTGAATTTTTGAAAATTGGAAAAACCCAGTACAACAGTTTAATCGATTTTATTAGTTTTTGAATAAATTAAACTTCAACCAGTCTCAAACTTTTGAAAATAGAGAAACACTGAGAAAGGTTTAATCAATTACATTACTAACATAATCGGTTAAAATTCGTGAATACATTGCCTTAGAAATAATAACGGGAATAATTAAGCTGATATAATTCAAATTAATTAAAATAAGAATTACTTATCAAATTAAGCACAAATATCAAAATTGAGGAAATATTGGACATTTAAGCACACTTCCCTAATTAAATCTAGTACAAGAAGTTAAATGAATATGAGAAAATATTGATTAATCAGAAATCAAATTAATTAATAGTATAATTGGAAATAAAAGTTAATTGGATTTAAAAAGGTAAATAATAAAGTCTTATTGATTAATGGTTTAAAAAGGAAAATAATTAAGTCTTAATGATTAATGGTAATAAAAAGAAAAATAATGAAGCTTTAAGGATTAATTAATGTAATAAATGATTTATTATTTTTTGTTTGATATAGAATTATATTTATTTGTTTGTTTGGTAATCTAATGATTGAGTGGAATCCCTGAGGGGTCCATTGAGCCTACATGTTTGAATGAAATTTTTGATAGTGACAAATGAGTAAGGTTAGACATGGGATGAGAATAGTAATTGTGTTTAGAGTTAGGTTTGACTTGTGGATGAGATAAGAGAATGAGTGAGTGTTGGGGTGTACCTAAGTGTGTGGTTGATGAGCATGAGAGTTGAAGAAAAAGTCTACTCGTTGTACCTAGTAAATCCTGATTTTTGTCTTCGAATAGTTATGGTTGTTCGTGTATTGAACCCTCCTTGTGTTAGGGTGATGATGATTTCCTTGTTCTTGTGTGGCAGGAAGACATGTTCTTTAGCTGGACTGCAGGACTACTCGAACATATCTGTAGGG